ACTGCACTCCAGTCTGGGCGACAGAGTGAGACTCCAACTCAAAAAAAAAAAAAATAATAGAGAACCAAATGGTTTGTGTTCTGTGTACATTTGAACAGAAATCCTATTGTCTTTTATAGTTAGGGGGATTGTTGTCATGCTTTTCAAAAGTCTGATTTCTTGCCTAGATGCTTTTCACCAAATCATTCGAGATGAAGGAATTTTGGCTTTATGGAATGGCACATTTCCCTCCTTGCTATTAGTCTTCAATCCTGCTATCCAGTTCATGTTCTATGAAGGTTTAAAACGGCAGCTTTTAAAGAAACAGATGAAGGTAATCTCTGATTTTGAAAGCAGCCAAATAATAATCTGACAACTTCTTGTTGTTTAAATTTATATGATTTTTTCTTTCTTTGCTTTCCAGCTTTCTTCTTTGGATGTATTCATCATTGGTGCAGTAGCCAAAGCAATTGCCACCACAGTCACCTATCCCATGCAGACGGTACAGTCAATTCTGAGGGTGAGTGCTAGGGTTTTCTCTACATTTAGTCAAACAACATTCTAATATATGTGATCTCTTTATTTAAAGCAATGTTGATAAAGCAGTAAAGCAGTCAGTTGGTATGCCAGAGTTTTCCCCATCCATTTTTCCACTTATCTGATATTCTGCTAACCAGGCTGGCTATCTATCAGTGGTTTCCTGTTTGGTTTGTAATGAAGTTTGCATTTATGATTTCTTAGGTAACATAATGACTTAGAAAACCTAAATGAGGAGAAAGGTTCTTTAACGACTTCGGGAAAGCATAAATTCACTTCCTTCTCATTCAGGTTGATTTGCTTGGTGCCCTTCTGCAGATTATCTCATACAAAATCAGGGGTTAATTCCTTTAGTTCACTCAGAAAGAATTACTGATTTAGCTTTTCTGAAGCACTTTCAAATTTGTCTTTTAATTAGTTCAGTTATCTATTCATTAAAATATTTATTAAGCACCTACACTGTGGGAGAAACTGGATATACAATGATGAATAAAACAGTCATAATCCTTGCCCTCATGGAGCTAGTGGAAAAGAGAATGGACAGGTAAACAAGCAAAATAAATAGATAATTACAAAACCCGGAGCAGTGACTCATACCTGTAATCCCAGTGCTTTGGGAGGTGGAAGTGAGAAGATTGTCTGAGCCCACTGGTTTGAGACCAGCCTGGGCAACTTGGCAAGACCTCATCTCTACAGTAAATTAAAAAATTAGCTGGGTGTGGTGGTACACACCTGAGGTTCCAGCTACTCTGAAGGCCTGAGCCCAGCAGGTCAAGGCTGCGGTGGCCGTGAGTGTGCATTCCACCCTGGGCAACAGAGTGAGACTCTGACTCAAAAAGAAAAAAAAAAACAGACCCAAAACAATAAGTAGATAATTACAGATTGAATAGATATAAAGGAAATGGACAGCCTTCTGTGATTTAGTGCAGAGGGGTATGGTGAGGATCTTAGTATTATTGAAAATGACCTTCTTTGAGAAGGCATATGTAAATCAAGATGCAAAGGAAGATAAGGACCTATCTGTGCAAAGAGTGAAGGAAAGAAGAAGCATGATATTCTAAGAGTTTGGATTGTGGCTTGAGAGTGGCTCCGAGTAAGATTGGAAAAATAACTGGGAAGATTTTTCTTCTCAGTGCAGTAGGAAGTCTTTGAAGGGCTTTAAGTTAGGGAGTATGTGATCTGATTTACAATTCAAGAAGATTGTTGTGGCTGGTATGTGGTGAATTGGTCAGATAACTAAAAGAGAAAGCGAGGGGCTATCAGGTAGAAGTCCATTTCAGTAACACAGGTGAGAGAGGACGAGGGTGGGTAGCAGCAGAGAGGAGAGATAGGACAAGGACAGATTCAAGATCTGTTTTGAAAAAAAAAAAAAATTCAAAAGACTTATTGCTAGATAAAATGGGGGTAATGCCAGGCTCGGTGGCTCAGCCTATAATCCCGTGCCTTTGGGAGGCTGAGGTGAGTGGATTGCCTGATCCTGCGGGTTCGAGACCCGCCTGGGCAGCAAGCCCTCATCTCTATAATAAATCAAAAAATCAGCCGGGCATGGTAGCGCATGCCTATAATTCCAGCTACTTGGAAGGCTGAGGCGGAAGGATCTCCAGAGCCCAGCAGGTCGAGGCTTCAGTGGCCAGAAGCGGCCACTGCACTCCAGTTTGGGCGACAGAGTGAGACTCCAACTCAAAAAAAAAAAAAAAAAAAAAAAAAGGGCTCTGCCGTCACCGCCGCCATCGCTGCCTCCCTGCCGGCGAGCGTGTGAAGGGGGAGCCGAGGGTCACCATGCCGCCAACACCATGGTGGTTGAAGTGCAGTGGCAGGACCACATCCTCAACGTCCTGGGCTCAGGCGATCCTTCTGCCTCAGCCTCCTGAGCAGCTGTGACTGCAGAGAAAGTCGAGCAAAGCCAAGGAGAAGAAGCAAAAGCGCCTGGAGGAGCGAGCAGCCATGGATGCCATCTGTGCCAAAGTGGACGCCGCCAACAGGCTCGGAGACCCTCTGGAGGCCTTCCCAGTGTTCAGGAAGTACGATCGAAACGGGCTGGATGTCTCCATTGAATGTAAGCACGTGTCTGGGCTGGAGCCCGCCACCGTGGACTGGGCCTTCGACCTGACCAAAACCAACATGCAAACCATGTACGAGCAGAGCGAGTGGGGCTGGAAGGACCGGGAGAAGCGGGAGGAGACGATGGATGACCGGGCCTGGTACCTCATCGCCTGGGAAAACCGCTCTGTCCCTGTTGCCTTCTGGCACTTCTGGTTTGACGTGGAGTGCGGGGATGAGGTCCTGTACTGCTACGAGGTGCAGTTGGAGAGCAAGGTGCGGTGGAAAGGCCTGGGCAAGTTCCTTATCCAGATCCTGCAGCTCATGGCCAACAGCACACAGATGAAGAAGGTTATGTTAACAGTATTTAAACACAATCATGGCGCCTACCAGTTCTTCCGAGAGGCCCTGCAGTTTGAGATTGACGACTCTTCCCCCAGTGTGTCCGGCTGCTGTGAGGAGGACTGCTCCTACAAGATCCTGAGCCACAGGACCAAGTTTGGCGACAGCCAGCACTCCCACGCCGGCGGGCACTGCGGCGGCTGCTGCCACTGAGCTCCCAGAGACACTGCGGTCACGATGCTCTTTCCTAGGCCTGTCCTCCCCCTCGGTCTCATGCTGCCTGCCAGGTGCCCTCAGGGCTGTGGCCTCGTGGGTCCTGCCTGTGCCAGGCTGCACCCTGAGAGCAGAGCCGGGAGGGGTGGTTCGAGCTGCCCTTCCTCCTCCCTCCCAGGAGGCCCAAGTGCCGGGGGAGTGGAGAGGAGCGGGAAGAGCTGGGGG